CACTTGGGTTTATTTTGTAATTACTAGGAGCTTAGCACTGTTTTCTTTCATACACTCTGATACCACTTGGGTTTATTTTATAATTACTAGGAGCTTAGTGCTGTTTTCTTTCTTACACTCTAATACCACTTGGGTTTATTTTGTAATTACTAGGAGCTTAGCACTGTTTTCTTTCATACACTCTAATACCACTTGGGTTTATTTTGTAATTACTAGGAGCTTAGCACTGTTTTCTTTCTTATACTCTAATACCACTTGGGTTTATTTTGTAGTTACTAGAAGCTTAGCACTGTTTTCTTTCTTACACTCTAATACCACTTGGGTTTATTTTGTAATTACTAGGAGCATAGCACTGTTTTCTTTCTTACACTCTAATACCATTTGGGTTTGTTTCTTTGAGTTGGAGGCATATCTGGGTCACTATCCATTATTAGTGTGGATTTTTGTAATAATACTTTTAACAACAACCAGCTTGGGGGTTTTTGAATAAAGGCTGTACCAAAAATAATGTGACATGATATAAAAAGTTCTATTGGTTGTTTCAATACACTGTTGTGTCATTATTATCTTCTCAGCTGTTTGTTATACATTATTGTATCTTCATAAGCTTCTCAGATGTTTGATATGGGTTGTGTCCTGATTCACACTTTAGATGTCTGATTATATTGTTGTATTTCGAATGAGCTTCTGTAATACTAATATTAAGTTATCTTGCTTTCAAAAATCACAAATGTTTAAAATCAAATTATATATAGTTTAAAGAACTTCATAAAATGCTTTTTTTGCAAAGTATTCTTTTAAAATATAGTTATATTTGCATGATATCTATGAAAACAAACAAAGGTTAGTGTAAAATACAATAAAACACAGATAAAAGAGTATGTTCACAAAAGTTCTGACATTTAATGAATAAACAACTAACAAAATCATTCTTTTTTGTACATGCATCATAATATTGTACTTTTAACATTAATGTATAGTTATGCCCTTGTCATACTAGTTAACATCTCCATTTTTGTCCATTTGAAAGTATCATAAGAAACAAAGCGATGGATATATATATAAAGTGGAACATTCTGATCAATAACAACAAAAAATTGAAAGTCTTATATGAAACAATATTTGTTGGTTTTTTTTAAAACTGTTTCACAACAAAATTTTGGACATCTCCTTACCTAAAATATATACAAAAATCAGATACTATTTAAAAAGTCTGTCCCAATTTACATGCTGTTTGATTACTTATTTTCACTGATAGAAAAAAAAATCTGGATATCAGCAACATCCTTCTGGTCCTGAAAGGGTTAAAACTTCAACAGTCTCAGAAAATATAGTTCATTCCTACTCAAAGTGAGTGCTTAAACAAGCCCTACAAACATCAAGAGTAACAATAATTACAGTAATACATTTAAGTACAAGCTGAGGTACCCATTCTTTGTCCAGGTTATGAACTTAAAAACATGTGTGGGTGGATGCTATGATAAATAACTGAAAAATTCTAACTGTCCCACAATTTACTTATAACATAACATGTTATTACAGTATTCATTACTACCTCACCAAAAGTTTTGTATAAGCTTTAAGAACTTAATATACACGGTGCAATGGTTAGGGTGACTTTGTATAAAGAGGTAGTGGCCAAAATAGTGGTGATAGAGGTGCTTTCTGTTACACGCTTTCAACACCCAGCTCTTAATGTCCTTCCACAGTGTTTCACGTGATTAATAGGCAGTCACTTGCCACAGAAGTGACTTATGAGCCTAAATTGAAAGGTCATGAGTCAATAAGTAGGAAGTTGGTATAACTCAAAAAACAACTCTTCATATCAACCTTATGGTGGCTGTTGGAGTAGAAACTTAAGCTGAGTTTATGTATTATTGTAATAGTGGTGTCCATTTTTGTTCCATTGCTTTCCTCCATAGAAAGTGCTGGCTCACACTCTGAGATATACAAGACATTTGTGTGCCTTCCCCCACATTGTGTGTATGTTCTGTTATAGAAAATGTAGTTGTTGTTTTTGTTCAAGTGTAAGCATGTGGAACCATCTATGAATGTAGTTAATTTTAACTAATGCTAGAGATAATAAATGCTCAATAACAGCAATAATGGGGGGTGAAGGGGGTTGTGACCCCCCATTAACATGCTTCTTTTTCCAAACTATCATCCCACAAAGTTTGGTTGAGATTGGCCCAGCAACCTAGGAGTAGTTACATAACAGACAGACATACAGATTTTTGTGCTTTATATATAAATATAGATATACACAGATGGATGGATAAGGATAGAGAAACAATTATAGATTTATATATTTTTAAAATTCAAAACCAAAAACAAAGTGCTTAGTCCAAACAGCCATATGATTAATTCATTATATTTTTATTATTTTAAATAGTTAAAAGCTTATTTATCAAAACACTATTTTCATTTTTATTGTTCTCTGTTATATAAGTTTATTGGTGCTATTGCATAATCCATAAAACAATACAAACATGATAATATGATGTATTCAATGTGGAAATACTGAATACTGTCAGTGTTCTGTTCCAAAACAAAAATGTACATGCATGATGTCTGATTGTTTACAAAGAACACTTACATAGTTTTTCCAGATAACAGATTCAAACAATCTTACCTTCTTGAGGAGATAGCTCAGAGAGGTTAGGCAACCCCCTGGTTCCAGCTAGCTGGCTTATTAGTTTAGGTAGGTTAGCTAATGTGACTTGGGACGGCGATAGCAGTTGAGGATGGGCACTTTGGAGAGCAAGTGGTGTACCTGTGGGATGCAGGCTACTTGAAGATATGATAGGAATCTGGTTTCTGTTGTTGTTCCGATAATCTTGGTAGCTGTTAGCTGCAGTTCTGCCACTACTACTGTCAGGTGAAACATCCACATCTTGCACTTGTTCTTCAGCTTATCCACCATGTAAATATGACAAATATAAAACTCAACAGAAACCTCATTATGTAAAAACTCTGAAATTTTTAAACAATATTTATACTCAAAAAACACCTAGTCCACCTAATACATTAAATAATTCTAAAATCCTCAGATCTATCAGTTGAAGCATGTTAAATATACATGATTGTTTCATTTTAAATTTAATGTTAGCATTATGATTTAGATGACTTTAATACTCACGCAATATAAATTATTTTTAGAAGCGATAGTTATGCCAAGTTTGTTTACGTAACTGTTTACGAAACATTCGTTGTGTAGTTAAATTTTTGTGAATTGACATCATGACCTTCTGAATTTTTCTCACTACTTTAACCCTATTGCGCCACTAATCTTCCTATGGTCAGGGGTCAAAGGGCATAACATCACGTTTCTAGACTTACATTAAAAATTTTATTGAACTACTATTTTATGAATGTATATCAATAAGTTTAGCATCAAATTGTACAATATAATTCAAATTTTAGCATTATATATCAGTTTATTTCTTAATTTTAAATATAAAAAAATTCCTAAATATTGATTTTTGTGTGTCATGTGGTATGTTGATGCAGCTTTGGTTCAAATTAGATATTTATGACAACCGACTACAAAGTATATAATTTCTTATGAATTAGAAACTCAAATTTCTGATATTGACAAGCTAGAATATAAAATAAGAACTGGCTATCTTTCCTATTTGCTGAGATATCACTATATTTAGCAAATCAAACACAGTGGCCCCACCCACTTCTCCTATTTTTGGAAATATTCCTTACATACACCCGCCTTGCTCTATCATGGCTTTATAACTAAACAAATGCTTAGAATTTCCCCCACGTGGTTTTCTCAGCCTCTTGAAGGTGGGAAGTTCCCAAGATTGCATCTTTTGTCTCGATGCTCAGAAGGAAGGGGTAAGTAAAAATGTTGTTCAAAAAACAATAACTTTTTAGACCCAAATACAGAATAGTGAGCAACCCTGATAAATTACAGTGGAATTCTTTGATATTGATAGAATAATTTATAATTTTTGTTATTTGAAAATGCATATATATAAAACCTAAAAAAATTGTTTTGTCTTACATCCTCCACGTGCAAAATTCAGCAAGGCTTAGCATGTACAATACAGTAAGTAAGTACAAATTCCTTTAGAATTGCAAGTAGTAGAGATCATTGTTTTCTATATTTCTTTATTTATTGTTCTATGTTTTAAGAAAAATAGTTGAAATTTAAGAAATTATTTGTAAACAGTAATAATAATATATATATATATATATACACATAAATGTGACTGTATTTTACAAAATACTGGTCCACTAGAACAAAGCCAAGATTGGTCACTTTTTAAAGGCCAGTTTTATATTATTGGATACGGTAACATGAGTGCACGTACACCACATCATTACAACTTCTGTAATGTTAGTCAGTCTCAGCTGAAAGGTAAATCAAATAAAAATAATAAATATATATAGATATGTATAATGCTATAAGATTTAAGCTATTTAGACTAAATATTTGTGGTTTCATGTTATAATTTGTAGTCACTCTAGAATGGAAAAAGCAAAATTTATATCTATTCCCTAATTTTTTATGGTGGTTATGAGGTTGATCAAATTGACCAAATCCATAGAGAGGTACAGTAGTGAATATAACAGATAAAAAATTTTCTTAAAAAAAAAACTGATAATCATCTGGAGGTTATAAAGATTTTGCATGTGAGATTTGACAATTTTCTCAAGCATAGAAGTATTTTTAATCTGAAAAACAAAATTCCTTTGCACGTTGGATAGTCAACATTTGAAAAGAAAAAATGCAAGAGCAAATTTCTTAAAACTTAATAAAAAAAAATCTGATATGAGATGTGTATGAAAGTCTTGTAAAGTTTACACAGCGTGGTCACAAGTAAATAGACACCACCTTTTCAGAAAAAATGAG